TGTGTGTGTGTGTGTGTGTGTGTGTGTGTGTGTGTGTGTGTGTGTGTGTGTGTGTGTGTGTGTGTGTGTGTGAGTGTGTGTGTGTGTGTGTTTCTGAAAATAATTCTATGAAAATGTTGGTCTATTTTGCTCGCTCACATTGCTATTCTTAAGGTGAATTATTAATCCAATCAAATTATTCATTCACTCACTCATGTTCCTTCAGCTTAGTCCCAATATTAATCTGGGGTCGCTACAGCAGAATGAACCACCAACTTATCCAGCATATGTTTTACAAAGCAAATGCCCTTCCAGCTGGAACCCATGTACTGGGAAAAATCCATATACAGTACACTCATTCTCACACATACACTACGGACAATTGAGTTTATTTCATCACCTATAGCGCATATGTTTGGACTAGGGCTGTGTGATTAATCGAAATCAATTACAATCATGTTTTGAAACGTTTCGATTAGCTAAGCGCAAGAGGGTGCGATATGAAATATATATGTATTATTTAATTTCTCCCGCCCAGAACAAATGTGTGACTGCTCTCTCTGTGTGTGACAGTCTTGCTAGCCAATTGAGTGAGCACACTTTTGTTCTGCCCAATCAGAACTGCACTATGCAGAACACTCCCAATAAAAAACGAATACAAACAGTAAAGTGCAGACGAGTTGGATGATGGAATTTGCCACTTCAGAAGCATTAATAGACAAATTAATATCAAAAACAAACAGGAGATTAGTAATATGGGAATACACTTAACAAAAACAGGTCATTTGTAAGAGCTGTCGCTGAATTGTTGATTTAGTAGCAAGCAACAGCAAAGTACAAGTTCATAGTTGTTTCTGCCATGTTAGTTTGCTGTGTGTTTTTTTTTTTTTTTTGTATTTTTAAAACTTATTTTTTTCTGCCTGGGGATGGAAAGTATATGACCAAAATCCATCTTTTTTTTAACTCTAACTGTAGTCTGTAAAGACTTTTGTTGATGGTATATGTAGACCACGTATGTGCAACTTTGTGTTGGTTGGGATGAACACTGTGTACACTGTTTTTGTGGAAAAAATCAAATCAAATATATTTGGTACAGTGTATTTATGTTTTGTACAAAAAAGTTCAGAAATATTTGACTACACTTATGTCGGCTTGTGTACGGTTTGTAGTAAGTGTAACACTGAACAAAAACAGGGTTACAGTAAGTCATTATAATAAATGAAGAAGAAGTGGTCAGTGTTTTACATTAGTGATCAACTGGTTCTTATAAATGTCTAGTCATGTGATGATTTGTGTGTGTCATTTGAAAACAAAATACCATTTTGAGAAAAAATCACATTGTTTTGAATGTAAAGTATCATTTTGCAGGAGAACTGAAGGGTTTTGCCTGATGTGTGTGTGTTTTTTGATTTGTGTGTAGAGTTCTGACAATGAGACATGCTTTCAGAAAATGTATGTAAACAATTGGGAACAACTGTAAATATAATATATTTTCCGTTCCTTATTTACCAGTAAGAAGCTATGATACAGATTATTGAGCTGATGCTTGACTACAAAATTAAATCATGAATCAAAATCTGTAAAAAAAAAAACATAAACAATAATTAAAAATAAATATCACAATAAGATATTTTCCTCAAATCACACAGCCCTAGTTTGGACCATGGGGGAAACCGGAGCACCCGGAGGAAACCCACACCAACACGGGGAGAACATGCAATGCTAACTGAACTGATTCAAACCAGCGACCTTCTTGCTGTAAGGCAACCACTGAGCCACCGTGTCACCTCAAGCTATTCAACTAAAAGAAGAAATGCTGTGGTAATTCTTAATCAAAGTCTGAATATTTGCTTCTGCGTTTGAAATGGCAGTCATTCTGTTTACATCAACTTGAGGGCTTCCATAGTAACTGCATAGTAATATTCTTAACCACACCCCTCTTACCATTAGTCTGCTACAACAGAAGTAAGCCCCGCCCCTACTCAGTATTCTGTTTCAGTTGGAAGTACATACTGAAATAACAGTCTCAGCAACGTATGGTTCATGGAGACTTTTAAGTGCAGTTATACTGGGCAATAAACTCCCACTGAAATTGAACAACCCTGGTGTTCAGATCTTTATTCTGGCATCTAGTGTTCATTGTAATATTCGAGCAGCAGCAGGACCCTTAAGACATGAATTACGTCAGCATGGAGTGTATTTGCAGCATTAAGATCAGGTCAAGCATTCGAATGCGATGTTCAAAGTCAACCATTTAAACTTAGTCTCCATTTGACCTTCAAAAGTGCATCAACTTATGATTAACTGACAATGCACGTGACATTATTACACATTATGCGCAATGCACTGACTATGCAGAAACCCACAAGAATCGCTGTCTTTATGACACAATCACATTCTTGTATGACAGAATGCCGGAAGCTTATCTTGACATTTAAAAAAATGCACGCCAAAAACCCTTTATTTGCTTTCACTGAATATTTCCACACAATGCTGTTCATGTGGAGGCCACAGAAACATTTGATGAAGGCACGCCTGAGCAAAACTCACATTTGACTATTTCAGGTGAGTCACAGAACAGTCTACAATTCAGTGAATTCCACTTGAGTAAGTGTTCATACAATAACTGTATTACGATGTATTTACATTTGAGTTGTTTTTACACTGCGCAGTATGGTACGGTTTGGTTCTGTTTGCATTTGCACTGCAGTTTGGTACTGTTAAGAGTATTTGTAATTATCCCTGTAGTTTTGCCGCCTCTACTTTTGAGCTTTACTTTAAAGAACAAAATCAATTTGTGTCATCCCAACCAGCTCTCGCTTGATCTGCTCCTCATCTACTAATGAGAAGAATGTATGGACCACTTTCACTGCCATTTCGGGTTTTTTTTCTTGCAATTGTATAAAAACTTGATTGCGTTTCTTTCCTCAGTTTGACACCAAAAATAATATGGTGAATAATGTTGAACTGCATAAATAAATAAATAAACCTGCATATTTCTCCCTGCTCTGGATGTCAATGGCTACTGGTTTCCAACATTCCTCAAAATATCTTATGTTGTGTTTAATCGAAAGAGAAAACTTGTAAAACTTTCAAATCATTTGAAAGAGATTAAAATTATGACAGAATTAACATTTTTGGATAAACTATTACTTGAAACCTTAGCAGAAACTACAGTAACCTATCACAGAAAGGCCTGTACACTAATTCTGTAATTCTGGGTTGCTTTAAACAAAATCTGGTTCAAACACACCCAACCATTGAGTTAACATTCAATTAAAAAAACAATCAATTGAATTTAAGTGTGTCCAAAAGTAACGCAAATGGTAACAGTTTATAATAACGACAATCTATAAAACACTATTAAACTGTTAATAGTAAACAGGCATTAAAAACCACTAACTACTCTTAAATACAAACGTTTTGGAAATACGGTGGGCCCTTGTTAATCGTGGGAGTTACGTTTTAAAAGTAACCAGCAATAGGTGTAATCCGCAAAGTAATCAGCTTTATTTTTTACAATTATTTAAAATGTTTTAAGGCTGTAAAACCCCTCACTACACACCTCCCAGCAAACAATTTTGTGTTTAAAAGATGTCTAATAGACATCTAAACATAATCATCCTGGCTAAAACAAGGCTAAACTTTGGCTGTCAGTGAAAATCTAATAGAGATCTAAGAATAGCCCAAAACTAGACTAGTCGTCAAAAAGACAGATTAGACAGACTTTATATGTGCAGTCATTCGTTTCTGTTTATTTGATGACTACTCTAGTTTTGGCCTATTCTTAGATGTCTATTAGATTCTCACTGACAGCCCAAATTTGGCCTTGTTTTAGCCAAGACGACTATGTTTAGACATCTAATAGACATCTTTTAAAAACAAATCATGCTTGCTGGGTTAAACACTTTTCTCAGACAGACATTAACATTTTTCCTGCAGTCACTGATCCACAAAGCTAAAGCGGACTCCATCCTCACGATGGTCTTGTTGCGGACAGTTACTACCCTTTTTGCTTCTTCATTGAAACTTATAGCTTATTTTAATCTCTTTCAAGTGATTTAAAAGTTTTCCGAGTTATTTTCCTCCTCCTTTATGTAACAAACCGAAGATTGATTTATTCTGGAATAAAGTTGCACAACTTCTACCTTCGTTTAGCATGTCCAGAAGTCCAGCTTTTCTGTGTAATAGTTAGCATCTTAGTAGTAGTGAAAGCATCATCATTAGCATCATCATTAGTAGTGAAAAATTAATCAGTAACAAAGCACTTCTCTGCACTTCTCGTAGAGCAGGGGTGTAACTCCGTTGTCCTGGCCAAAGTCCCTCAATTGGCTCTTACAATCATGTCGTCCCAATCATCCCTATCCACTGAATTGGCTCTATCACTGTCTCTCCACACCTAAAATAGCTGGTATGTGGTGAGCGCACTGGTGCTGTTGTCTCGTGGCTGCCGTCGCATCATCAAAGAGGATGCTGCACACTGGTGGTGGTGTGGAGAGACCCCCCTTATGATTGTAAAGCACTTTGGGTGTATTGCCATACACAATAAATGTGCAATATTAATACACATTACATTACAACAAAGCATGAAAATACAATTATTAAGCACATTATAAAGTTTATAAATGCTTTAGCATTTGCATTTATAAACTGCTTATTACTGTCTCATAATGTAGACTTAATACTCAGTAATAAGTATGTAATAATAAGTAGTAAGTAATAATTTGCTAATGCTTATAAAATGACTTCTAGTGTGTAGCTACCATACAAATTTGCTTTGAAACGCCATTGGGTTTTTTAGTGTATTCAGTCCTTCCAGAGAGATCTGTCTGGGTCATTAGCAGAGAGAACTGTTAAATGATGGAGTGGACAAGACATGATGCACATGATGAGTGAGTGTGAGTGTATGTGTTTGGCTAGGGGAGCAGTGGCCACTCAGAACACAGGCGGTAAAGAGTGTTTACCTGGCCCTGCGTTCTGTGGATACGCCATGTAGCCGCTTCTTCCCCGGGTCGCCCTACCTGAGCCTCGTGCTGCCGCCACTGCTGCCGCCGCCACCGGTCCGTACGCAGTCGCTGGAAAACCTGCGCAGAAAAAAGAGAGAGAAATGATTCACTACTGCTCTTCATCAAATTTACAGCCACATCAACACACAGAGCGTCAGGGAACAACTCTATTCACACTAACACACACACACACGGCAGAGAAGCAGCATCACCATTCATATAATTACATATAAATCAAAGGAACTCAAATATAATTACTCAAATAAAATGGTTTAGAGTGGCGCTAGCAGGACTGATCTGGAGCCGCTCTCTCTCTGTTTTTCAGCAGTGTTTTAATTACAGACAGCACAGGAACACGTTGCCCATGGAGGGACTGTCAGCTATTTCTTTCACACCGTCTTGGAAAAATGCAACATATTAAAAGTTAATTTGCACTCACTTTAGACTGCTTCCCAAGCTTTCACAATATCGCTCTAATGTGATGCAAGCAGCGCAGAATTATGGGTATTTATACATATAAAAAACAAAACACGTTACTCTACAGGGAAAACAAATGTACTTGTTTGCCTGAACAGCACTAGAGGATCTAGAAAGCGAATGATTTAACACACCCTCATGTGTTAAGAGAGTTGACGGAGACGCATCACAGCTCAATCCATCAGTGGGATCATTTGTACAGTGGACATGGAGCACGAGCGGACAGAGGAGAACTGAAAGCAGAGGATTGTGGGATTAATTGCTTGCAACGAAGTGCCTATTATCTCACCGAGATGCACCAGAGGACATGTTCTCTTTAAAGTCCATAATGGCAGGTAGTAATGACTGTGTGTGTGTGTGTGTGTGTGTGTGTGTGTGTGTGTGTGTGTGTGTGTGTGTGTGTGTGTGTGCGCGCGCGCGCATCTCAACTAAACGTGCCTTTTTCATGAAATAAAGGCGAATCTGATTTCTGCTCAAAACTGAGGACAAACTCTGTTGAGTGACATTGTGATTCGCAGCATGCAATTTTTGTTTGTGGTAAACCGAGCGACGGCTGAGGAATCTACATATTTAACGACAGTTCTGAGTTCAGTGTTCAAACAATGTAATCAAACATAATCATCATCATTGTAGAAGCCAACTAAAGAAATGCGGCAGGCCAGAGTAGTTATGGCTCTATTGTTTCATAACAAACGTAATTACAGCCCCGGCGCTTTAATGAAGGCGTGTATCTGCGTCTGACAGCTGCTCATCAGAGCTCTACAGACCTGCTAGAGAGTCTCCAGCCCCTCTACAACATGTCATTACACCACATGCACTACTCTCAAGGTGTAGTAGGAAAAGAGTTGAGAAAACCAGTGGTTGCGAGTACAAAACCTCGATGGCTGATCCACTCACTATCACCATTATACCGTTGAGCAGGGCTTGAAAGCATCTGATTACTATGAAGGGACTGTGTCTAGTGCAGGGGTCACCAACCCTGTTCCTGGAGAGCTACCTTCCTGCAGATTTCAGTTGCAACCCTGACCAAACACACCTGTTTGTAATTATCAAGTGCTGTTTTAGATACTATTAATCGGTTCAGGTGTGTTTGATCAGGGTTGGGACTGAATTCTGAAGGAAGGTAACTCTCCAGGAACAGGGTTGGTGACCCCTGGGTGTCTACATTACATTGCACACTAGGTAAGATGTGGCAACTCCAGGAGATTTATCACTTCTAATATCTGAATCCAAATTTGAAAGGGATAGTTCACACAAAAACGTAATTATCTGTCTACTCAACAAAAGCAGTAAAAATAAATGTAATCAAATGTGATGAGGGAGGAACATGCTATCATGTGTATAATCAATAGAGCGCAACATCTTCCACTCGTGTAAAAATTAAAACAGTCCAGATTAAGGATAGTAAGAGCTAATCCAAACCCCTCTGTGGTCTCTCTGGTTTAAATTACGCATGTCATTTCCTGTTTCTCTCCTCAGCTCATTAATCTCTTCACAAAACACAAATCAGTATGCTAATGCTAATGCTAATGGCAGTCACGGGTCCCTGCCTGCGCTGTTGCTGAGCACAAGTGTCCTTCAGCGAAGTCATTGGTGCTGCGTCTCAGCATCTTCTGTCCCCTGGCGGCTTCTCTCCCTGCACCAAAGTTAGCGCTGGAACAAAGTTCTTGCGAGAGATTAACTCTGGCGGATTAGGTGGGTTAATTATTAGATCTCGGAGGCTCATTGTTTTGTGTTTCCGCCGTGAGAGGCTGCTTGAGAGAAGCGCTGCAGCATTAAATCAATTTCATGGGCTTTTCATTACAGAGCAGATAACGCCAACATTTAGCATTCAGTTTTATGGCGTTACTTGAATGTGCTTCAGCGAATGGGCTGATGGGAGAAAAACACCCTGCTGAGAGGCCACAAGGACACAGTGCTCTCCCTGCGTCTGCTAGCAGCCCCTGGGCACTGTAAAACCACACACACACATACATACACACAGACCCCAAGGGAGCACAGAAGGGTCTACAACACTGAAAGAGGAGAAGCGTGGACAAGAACACTGCAAAAACTCCTTAACGTCAACAGCTAACATCTTATTTCTAGGCAAAGAAATTGTATTGATCTGGTTTTAAGAATACAATACTGTGCCAGATCAGAGAGTGTCTTCAACATTATCAATTTATTTTTCTTACCTAGAAAAGTTAGGTATTTTAACAGCACATTTATCTTAATTACAATCAGACATAGTTTAAGATTAGCTTTGTATATTTAAGACTTTAAATTAGCTATAATAACTAGTTTTCACTGGCCACTTTATTAGGTACTTACAGTACTAGCAACAAGCTTCACGCATTATCCTGCTGGAAGTAGCCATCAGAAGATGGGTACACTGTGGTCATAAAGGGATTGACATGGTCAGCAACAATACTCAGGTAGGCTGTGGGGTTAACACGATGCTCAGTTGGTACTAATGGGCCTAAAGTGTGTCAAGAAAATATCCCCCACACCATTATACCACCACTAGTAGTCTGAACCGTTGATACAAGGCAGGAGGGATCCATGCTTTTATGTTGTTGCCGCCAAATTCTGACCCATCCGAATGTCGCAGCAGATATTGAGACTCATCAGACCAGGCAACTTTTTCCCAATCTTCTATTGTCCAATTTTGGTGAGCCTGTGCGAATTGTAGCCTCAGTTTCCTGTTCTTAGCTGGCAGGAGTGGCACCCGGTGTGGTCTTCTGCTGCTGTAGCCCATCCGCCTCAAGGTTGAATGTGTTGTATGTTCAGAGATGCTCTTCTGCAAACCTCAGTTGTAACGAGTGTTTATTTTAGTTACTGTTGCTTTTCTATCAACTCAAACTAGTCTGGCCATTCTCCTCTGACCTCTGGCATCAATAAGGCATTAGATAGAATATAAGAGGATTCTCCTGTTCAGTAAATCTAGTTTTGAGGCCTTTTCACACAAAATAAGAAAAGCAAACAGTTTTTTGCTGCAATGAACAATATAGTCCTAAAACAATTAGAATACTTTGCTTGGAAAAAGTTTTATAATACTTATTTTAAGATCTTATCGCACTGGCCAAGGGCATAGATTCACTTTTGACATTGGTGGGGACATACTTCCCTAGAGCGCACGCAAACAGCGCATTTAAAAACATGATTAAAGTACTGAATAATATAAACTTTACACATAATAATACAAAAAACAACGCCGTGCTGCAAAAGTCAAGTTACAAGATTTTACTGCAGTCGGGCTTTGAGGAGGTATGAATGTAGAGAAATTTAGCGAGGTGCGTGACGCAATTTAACTGTTTTATCGCGCTCACTGTTTTTCATAATTATAGAGTCCAAAATTTGTTTTAATTAATTGCACAGTCTTAATTAATAATTATAATATTAGGGTGAACTAGTAGCGAACTTGACTAGGTGCACATGTAAGTTAAGAGTTGACGAGGACTACTTTATTTTAAAGTCGATTAAATTATTGGTAGGGACATTTCAGTAATTGGTGGGGACAGTTCCACACCAATATTTGACATGTCCCCATTCAATATTTTGACCACTGATATTTGACTTTTGAATTTGTCTGCAATTTCTTAAAATCATTTTCACTTTTCTCGTATTTAGATTTTTTTTTGTTTGTTTGTTTGTTTTTGCAGTGAACAGGACGAGGATGAATGTGTGAATTGTAGGCCTGTCATAATAATCAATATATCGATGGCAAAACACAAGGACATGACCTCAGTCATTTTTGGTGATGCAATATATTTTGCCCATACATAAAAACCAATTCTAGCAACATTTTTGCTGATTGTGCAACATCTCTATCTCTATTGGAGGAGTCAGTATGGTAAAAAAAAGAGAATGCGATAGCATTTACTACAAATTACTATAGTATATTTTCATGTGGGTGTCTGACAACTGAAAACCAATCTGGTAGAAAATATCGCAGCCTCTTACTTTTTACCCTGCACTTTTTATTAACATTTAATATTATTAATTTAGGATACGCGTTTTTACATTTTGACTCCAAAGCCAAATTAATAAATGGGCAAATGACTACAATTTAAGTAAATACTCTTAAGAATAAAGTATGATGTGTTCATTGGAAGAACGTACTTGCATTGTAATGATATGATATTGCCATTTTGGCATTAAATAATAGTCTTAAAAATGACAATAATATCATTTATCACAATATTTTTTTGGTGTAATATGTCATACAACAAAAACAGATCGTGAATCGTGCACAAGGCCTAAAGAACATGCACTGTTACAGTAGATTTAAATTCAATTAGATTTGTCCTAAATCTGTGCCTTACGATTAAGCAGTGGCCTTGTTTTAATAGATGCTCTACAGAGTGAAAGATTTCCTTTTCAAAAGACTCTACTTTAGCAAACAGCTGCTGAAAATGTCCTGAAATGAGGCTATAAATACATCTGACGGGAGCCCACACACACACATGGTTTGTGTCCCATCAACAACATGGAGCTATGAAATGACAAAATCTGTGCCTTCATCTTTCCTTCATTGCCCACTTTGAAAGGAAAATAAGAACAATGAAAGCTGTCATAACATGCGCTGGGAAAAGCCGCAGCCGTGGCTCTCTTTTCAT